TGCAGAGTGTCTGGCACAGTGCGTGGACGAGAGTGGCATTCACAATGCTAACAATGATGATAACAGCAGCCACACAGAGTGAGGATAACAAGATGTGCCTTCAGCAGATACCTTTTGTATATGTGATTTAAAATGGGAAAATAATTTTCTTAGTAAATGTAATTTTCTTTAATGGCATGAGGCCCACTGAGGAAGGCAGCATGAGCCACATGACTATCCTGGAGAGACAGAAACAGTGGTAGACAGATGCTACCAGCAGAGCAGGCTCATCCAGGGAAGCTTCCTCTGGCAACGAGAAATCAGGCAGCTGCTTCACTTCCGTGGGTCCCTGTGTCCTCGTGTATGAAATGAAAGTACAGGATTGGGGGCTCTCGTGGTTTTCTTTTAGCTCTCCTATCTAGGATTCTAACTTGTAAGTATAGAACAGTTGGCATTTAAGCTTGTCTTATCAAAATTGTCTCTATTATACTCAAAAAGACCATGGAGAACAACAAAGGAGGCAAATTTACAATTGGTTTTGAACCTTAACTTTAATATTTTCTACCTTGCATGCTGTAGGACAATTATCTTCCTTTCTGGAAAACTCTTGTTCTACTATAATCTCATTATTTAAAACTATTTATGTAATCTCATTTTCAAGGGTTTTTAATTTCATAACAAAACTCCAACTGAGTTGAAATTGAGCATATATGCTTTTAGCCCAAGAAAGAATTCTGTGTTCTGGACAAAGCTGAAACCCACTGAGTCAGTTTAAGGGCAGAAATAAAAACAGTTAGGAAGAGAAATATCATGCGCAGTGAGAAAGTTTAGAGGAGCGTTGAGTTCTGACCTTTGGGGCAGAGCTGCCAGGTCAAACTCAGGGCACCCACCTTGCAGTATACATGGTACCCTCAAGGCCTTGCACTCAGCCATGAACCTAGAAACCTGATTTTTATTGCACATTCAAGAAGCCTAACAGTTCCACAGCATGAGAGACTCTAATAAAGGAGCATCTCCTTTACAAGGAGCAGATAGGGCTGGCAAATAGTGAAAAGTTTTCAACCCTGTGAACAAGAATTGACAGTTTTCTGCAGTTTGGAGAGGTGGGATTTGGGGCAAATCTGCCAATTGTCCTGTTCACCATGAACTCTACAGCACAAGTTTGGGTCAGCTATGGGGGGAGGGTCGTTAGCCTGGAACAGATAATAAGAAAGTCATATATATTTTTCTAATTATTTTTTATTTTATATTTAAAAAATTTTTTTCGAGACAGAGTCTCACTTTGTCACCCTTGGTAGAGTGCTGTGGCATCACAGCTCACAGCAACCTCAGACTCTTGGGCTTAAGCAATTTTCTTGCCTCAGTCTCCTGAGTAGCTGGG